ATATTAGCAGTATAATGTTCTGATGGCAGTGCAATACTGTGGGTTCAAATATGGCACAAACTAGACCAGGATGCAGATTTACTAATTTTCTCCTTTTTTTGTTTTCTCTAAAGCGTTCTTTGTGGCCTATCATTGATCTATCTTGCTAACATGAGATTGCCCACTCATATCTCATTTTCACTTATCTAAGACTTAACACTCTTTCATGCTAATATCCAAGGCATTTGGAGAATTTGCATAGGTGGCATATGACATCAGAATTGAGGTTCTGTATTAGTATTCAAAACAGATCTGAGAGCAGTTGGTGTTCCCAGAATGAACCAGTAAGAGAGTACTTAGTCTATTGAAGCCAGCTGAGTATCAGTAAGAAGAGAAATTAATTCAGGAGGTGCTCGGCACTGGGCGGGATCAGCCTTCTAAGACGGAAATTCTGGCTTAACTGTTTTAACGACAGCTGCTTCTTCTCCCCACTGTCATTGCAGTGTTGGCTGAAGTAGGACAGTGCGAAAGAATTGAAATTAATGTTTGATCACACTTTTACAGAAGTTTGCCATTGTTTATTTAGGTGATTGTCAATTTCTCCACCACCTTTGCTATGAATTGCCTCAGGCAATTTGTGGTGCTAAGCCTGTATGATTAAGCATACTTGAAAGTATGTTTTCAATGTGAACATTGGGGTGTCATAGATCAGACACTAAGAACTGGAACTAAAAATAGTGCCTGTTGTAAGTGAAATATATTCTAGAGAAAACATGCTGTCCAGTTATTTGGTTTCCTACAATGTGGTTCCTCTAGTGCAAGAAGGAAGACATTTCATCTGAAATCTTTTAATTTGACCTTAGAATCTTAATAGTTAGTTCTTTATATGGGCTGTACATCAACTGTATGTGAAGGGCTGTATATATATGGGCTTTTATCAACTGCATGAGAAGGTTCTGAAATACATTTTTTGTGTTTTCATAACATAGTCAAACATTAAAATAATTCTTTTGCATCTGCCTCAAGGTAAACCAGCAAGATAAACTAGTAGGAGGATGGTGGTGGTAGGAGTTTCTTTCCCCTTAATTGCATGTGAGAGCAGTGAAATAAATCTCTGTCCTTGGATCAGTTTAGTACAAATTCTCCACTCCATGATGTTACTGCTACCTTGGGTTGACTCTCATTTTCTTCTCTGGCCCTTAGGCTGCTCACCATCTAAAGAGAAAACAGATGGAAAAAAAAAACCCCAAAAAACAAAAACATAAAGCCAGCAATGTTCAAGTGCTTGTTCTGTATAGGCAAGGAATACCCTCTCACTGGCTCCACCAAACAGTCTGCTGTCTGATTTTAAGTGCCACTGCTCATCAGCCACATGCACTGGATTTCTGCAAAGATGAGTGTCAAGAAGCCAAACAAAACCATTGGGCCAGGCTGGCAGGGAGTGGCATAGGGATACGTGTCCCTGGTGCATCCTTTCAAGCACACGCAGCCATGTTTGTCTCTGCTTTCCCCAGCCACCTCTTTCTTGAGCTGGACTTGTGTCTTTTCTCCCCTGTTCTGCTGTCTTTTCTCCTCTGTTCTGTATACCCTCCTCCCAGGTGTCAGCATGCCTGTTTTCCTACCTGTCAACAACCAGCGCCATGGAGAGAAAAAGGAGCTGCTGCTGGTTCTTTCTCCACCTGGGAGATCAAACTCTCATGTTCTAGATTGCCGTGCAGCTCCTCATGTCAGAATGTTTCTGTTTGGAAGACATGAGCGAGGCTGCTTCCCGAAAGGAGTGACTGGTCCTTGTTAGCCCCCAGGCGCAGGGCGGGGTTTTCCTCCGTGGAGCGGCGGTGTGATTAGAGGAGGGCTGTAGGAAAGCGGCGGCCCGCAGCGGGCACGGTGGCTTGTACGGCACTTCGCACAGGCAGGGTCAGCAGGCAGGGCTGCAGGTTTCCTCCTGCTAGTGAGGTTTTTCGTTTGTTGTTTGTGGTGGTTGGTTTTTGCTGGTTTTGTTGGTGGTGGTTTGGTTTGGAGTGTTTGTTTGTTTGTTTGTTTCGCGTTTTTTGTTACATCAATGGCAGCAAAAGCTACCTTCAGTTGTAGGAAGTAGGCTATGTCTAATACCATGACCTCTGCTGATGGTCTAGCTAAACCCTAGATGTTTTGTCCCCTTGGTCCTTATTTGCCTGAAGCTGTAGGTGTAAACAGGGGCTCTCGCAGCCCACTCTCAATTCTGAACTAACTCTCAATAACAAGAGTAATGCCAGATTCAGTGGCAGTCTTCTGTGTACGTTTCTGGGAGGCAGCCTGATGCCTTTAGTTACAATATTCTTATTTTTCAACTCCTAAGGACCACCTCTCCTTTCACTATACCTTCTTGGACTTTTTTCAGCCCAGAAACAGTTCGTTTGCAAGTGTTTCTGCACACTTTGTTTGCTTTGTTTGCAACTGTTTCTGCCAACAGCATAAAGGTGCTTACAAATACATAGTAAGAGACAGGAAAGTGAAGATACTGGTCCTCTGGGGACATTTCCACAAATGAAAAAATGTTCTCTCTTCTGTTCATACTGTATTTTAAACTACTTCTGCCTGGTTTTTTTCTGTGATTTTGGGGAAAAAAATAAGAGAGAGAGAGTAAGAGACAGGAAAGTGAAGATACTGGTCCTCTGGGGACATTTCCACAAATGAAAAAATGTTCTCTCTTCTGTTCATACTGTATTTTAAACTACTTCTCCCTCTTTTTTTTTCTGTGAGTTTGGGGAAAAAAATAAGAGAGAGAGAGAAAAAAAGACATTACTCACTTCAGTGAGTGTCAGTTTAGGATTGGTTGAAATCTGATTAAACAATAATAAAAATAGAACACTTAGCTGTACCATCTCCTCCCTATGAGTGATTTCTCCAATAGGGCACTTAAAAGACACAAATGTCTTCAGAGGTTTCCTCTCCAGCGCTTGGTATTTTGGCTTGCCTTTTCCATCTTCACATCCTTGCTTCTGTAAGCTCACTGAGCATTTCCATTTTTTCCTGAGATTTAAAGTACATGAGGCTTATTTTCTGTCTTATTTTCTGCGTAAGTAGGCAATGAATTTCCACACCTTTGTTTCAGAGTGTGGGATGGTGGGATGATGACTTCCTTTTCTAAAACAGTTTTTATTTTTCCTGTTTTCCCTGAAAATTTCAAAGACTTTGAACACAGGATTTAAAGTCTGTGGACCCTTAGACACAATAAACCTGGGTGAATTTGGAGGGGATGTTGCCTGTTTCAAATCTTGGGAATCATGTTCTAAAAGAGTAATTTTTTGTAGTGTGTACTAGTAAACTCTGTTTTTCTAAGTGCCATTACACCTGAAGGTATTTTATTAAAGTTTGACAAAGGACACCACAATTTAAAAATATCTTGTCAAATTATTCGGATGCTGGCATTTTCATGCAATTGAGATGTGGATTTTGTACTCACAGCACTACTGGCTCCTTGTCCAAAGAATGAACCACATTTTCACCACCTCTGAAATCACCATACATAACTCCATGCCTAGAACTTTCCATCCTCTTCAGACAACTTCCCAAGGAAGTTTTGGTCTTTGGCAGCCCTGAGGCCAAAGCCTTCTGTTACGAAGGTAACACTCTTTTGGCGAAATCACCATACATAACTCCATGCCTAGAACTTTCCATCCTCTTCAGAAAACTTCCCAGGGAAGTTTTGGTCTTTGGCAGCTCTGAGGCCAAAGCCTCTAGGAAGGTAACACTCTTTTGGCACAGCTTTCCCGAGTGAGGAGAGGCTGGTGAAAACCCCGTGGGCATCCCGGTGTGAATGCCACTCCCCCTGCCATGTTTCGGAGGGGACTTCCCGGAGCTCTGGCCCTCCTTCCCACGGGATGGGCAGCCTGCAGGCAGGAGGGCCGGCGGCAGGGACGGGGACAGCGAGCCCAGAGGCTGGGATGGGTGATGTGGGAATGCAGGCGCTGCCGCCGCGCCAGCCGAGCTGTGCCAAGCGCCGTCCTCGGGCCCCAGCTCGAGAGGCTGAACTCGGCTCCTGCACGCCTGGAGGGTCGGGAGAGAAAACGAAAAGCTCCTTCTCAGAATTACAGGCTATTCTGAGCTGGAGAGGGAGCCACCAGCATCATTGGGCCCGACTCGTCCCACCCGCCCTGCCCCAGATGAGTTTGCTCCCAGACACCAAATATCCTCCGTGATGGGGCTCGCTCTCCATTTATTCCCCCAAAGAGCTAAGAAATAAAGGATCTGGCTATTTTAAACTCTGTGTGTGTGTGTGCTTAAATAATGCACATCTACAAAAAGTCCTGGTATCTGACCAGTGTGTATCCATATTTATTTATGCAGACACACACACAAACACTGAAAGCAACGAACAAAGTTGAAATAAATGACACCACCCAACTAAGTGTGCTGCATGCAGAGCCATTAAATACTCGAACATGAGGAGCAAATTATTTTTAAGCCAATCTTTTTCGTGTTTTATTACTGAATTATAGCAGGTATTTAATAACACATAAGTGATATGAACATCGGGTAGATGATAGAAATCACACAGGAAAAACAGAAAACAAAAAGTGTAGGAAAATCCAGATTTATAACAAAGCTCAGTCATTTGTTGTTGTTTCCAAGTATCTGGTTTAGAAACCCAGAAAGCTGTCTTAAAAATAAGAAGCTCGTTGTCTATACCTTCTGTGCAAATAGGATCTCCAAATGCAAAAAACTTTGCAGTAATTAATTGACTGCCAATTGTTTACTCACACAAATTTCCAAAAATACAGCTACACAAAATGTTTGTAGTTCCCAAACTGTAAGGCTGACCAGCATTAAAATTTTTACCATTCAATCACTGTTACATCTTGGTGTTAAAACTGTATGTTGAGTGGGCTGGTGAGGGGAGAAGCTCTGGGGATTAATTAAATTTATGAGTGATATGGCTAAAGTGTTCACTATTTTGGAGTGCAACATAAAAGAGTCTCAAGGAATAACTAAAATAGAAAGCTTTGCAGGGCAGTGAGCAAGCCAGTAAGGGAAACATAGCGTTCTCACTTCGCTAAGCAGCTTTATTGTAAATAAAAAAGAGGAAAAGGTGAACATTTAATATATCTATTTTTTTTTTTCCCGCTAGAGTATAAAAGAGCCGTCTGGCGCTTGTGCTCTGCCCGCCGGAGATCACGAGAGGGGGAAGCAGGAGCTCTAGTCTTGATTGTGTTTCGGATTTTTTTCCTCTTTTTCTCAGGAAACAGAGAAAACCTCGGCACGTGTCTTCTCGCAGAAGCGGGAGCCGGAGTGCCCGGGACTCACGGGAGGGGCCCTGGCGATAGCGGGACAAAGAAGCGCTCTTCCCAGCAGACGGACATCGGCAGCGCCATCCGCGGCGGCTCGCTGGTGACTGGGCGGCGGGGATGCTCGCGGGGGAGGTGGGCTGCCGGGGACGCGGGGACAAGCCGGGGCCGGGTCAGCGCGCAGCCCCCTCGGCGGCGCCCCCGGCTCCTGGAAGGGGCGGAGGGTCGCGCAGGTAGCGCCCCACGGCCCCCTGCGGGCCCCCCGCCGCCACGTCGAGGGGCAGGCGGCCGCGGCCGTCGCGGAGGTCGAGGCGCGCCCCGGCGCGGTGCAGCGCCGCCAGCGTCTCCAGAAAGCCGGCGCGGGCCGCATCGTGCGCCGGGAGGCAGCCGGTGCGCGGGTCGGCGCGGTTGGGGTCGGCTCCGTGCCGCAGCAGCAGCTCGGCCACCCGCGGGCTGCCCAGCATCATCACCTGCGGGGAGAGACAGCGTCAGCGCCCGCAGCAGAGCCCGAGCCGCGCCGGGACCCGCCTCCGCGCACAGGCCGGGGGCAGCGGGGCCGGCGGCGGCCGCACCCGCGGCCCCTCTCTGGGGGGTGATTCTGCTGTCTCGGCTGCTTGTGGTGGTGGTGGCCTGCATACATTGTGACGGCCGTTTGCGATTATCCGTACGGATCCCTTCCCACTCGAGACAGTCTGTGATTAGATGACAAATTAAAAATATTAGCTACTTGTTTCCAGAATAGGTACAACACATGTGTGTGTTGGGCTTCACATTTATATAATTTGTATACACCATGGTAAAAATGGTATTTGTGATGTGTGTGTAAGCACATATTTATATTAACACGTTTATATGCGTATTATGTTGATATATGCATATTAACACGTTTATATGCAGATACAGACCAGCTGTGTGTGTACAGATATATACACACAATACAGACAACCTTTATGTAATTATATAATAAATAGTGCTTGTATTTATATTACTAATATATTTAGACATACACATATATTAAAAACATATCAAATATATTTAGACATATGAAGAGTTTGTAAATATTTGTATGCTATGTATACACACACCATGTGTTTTGTGGCAGCAAAGGACCGGAGGGATCTTGCATTAAGGTTGCTGTCACTTAGAATGCTTTACCGATTTATCAACATTAGCACAGCAATGGGACAACGCAGCTAAGTGTGGCTCCTTTTGGCATTCGGTGTGGATATTTCTATTTCCCCCCTCCCCTGAGTTTCGGACCAAGATATTTTTTCTTTTTTCTTTTGTCTTTTTTTTTCTCTCTCTCATCTCTGTCTTCTTCTCAGAGGTGTGAGAGCAGCTGCTGAGCGCTCACAAGCAATGCACAAAACTTAACTGATGGAAAATTCCGAATGATAATGTCTAAATGGCAAATTCCTAACGACAGTCTGCTTTTCTGCCAGTAGCAGAAACTTTTGGCAATGTTTGATCATACTCAACTGAACAAAACCCACAGAAAAATCCAAATCAACCAAAAACCAAAATAAATTTGTACATGGGGTTTTATTTCCCTTACTGTCCCTGTCACTTTCAGTGAAATTTTAACCACCGTAAACTGTGACTTAATACTTTGAAAAATATCTTAAGACAATAGGTTTTTCTATCAATTTCTACCTCGGGACTTTGGTTTGTCCACTTCAAATAGTTGGGTTTGTTTATAGTACAAGTGTGATAATACTTATGAATGTCATAATATCTAAATTCCAGATATTAATCTTTTCCAGAAAGAAAAAGAGGGTATTCGAGTGTCAGCCATTTTGCAAGTTGTTGACAAGAGAAAGAGAACTTAATCTGAAATGGGGAAAGGAAAAATAATTTATAAGGGTTTGGAGATTAATTTCATCTGCTATTTGAACACAAAACGGAAGTAAAACGAATAACTTTTTGAGAGCCATTCTCGGTAATACACTTCAGAAAAATATTTCATTTTTCATGTAAAGTGCAAGCACCAAAATAGTTGTTCAGCTTAGCTGAACATTAGATGAATCATCAAATGCATTTCTTTAAATAACAACTCGAAAATCTTCTACAAAACTCTAATTTAAATCACAATATATTAATCGTTCAACGAACATTTAAAAAGTGTCTACTTAAGTATGTCGATTAATATAATATATTTTAAATTCCATAACTGCCTGGAAAGCAACTCTGCATACTGATACTTCTAACATCTATCAATAAATACTGCCACTATTGAGGGATAGAGAATGTTAAAATTACTGCTACTAAGAGAAAAAAAGAGGTGACTACTAATACATACCTAGTTTCAAGTTACAATTTTTATCAGCACAGTTTCTTAGCTCTTTGTTCAGGAATATACTAGGAAGACACCCTACTTCGATTTCCCTGGGAAAAAAAAAAGACCTAAATATAGGTCTTTTTCGGTCTATATATATTTATACCTAAATATAGGTCTGTTCGGGCTATATTTAAAAAATCAAGAAATTTGCTTGAAGTGCAGATCATTCCCCAAACCTATCTGGGCAGGTTGTCTGGAAGCGGATTTTACAGTCCAACTTCTCCTTTAGAGTACCTTCTAGAAAAATTCGTTTGCTGCCAGCCGTTCCCCACTAATCTCCATCTTGTGCTTACAGGACTGCTGGACTTAGCAAAAAGTAAAGGGCACATTTGAGCTCAGACAGCTGCGGCTGGAGTACAGTTCCGATCACAACAATAAAAACTCATTCTAAACACGAATGCCCACCCTTCCCCGCCGACGTGTCAGAGCACAGTTTCCCCCCTGGCCCCCCACCCAGCGCACTCTGTACCTGGAGCGGGGTTCTCCCAAAGGCGTTGGTCCCGTTGGGATCCACGCCTGCATGCAGCAGCCTCCTCACCTCTTCGCAGTCCCCGCGGGCGGCGGCGCTGCACAGGCGGTCGCCGTCGCTCCGGGGGGACCCCTCCATCGCCCCCGGCCGACCTGAGCCTCACGCTCGCGGCTGCCTTTCCCTCTGCTCTGGCTGCGATCGCGCCTGTCGCTGCGACACAGCTCCTCCTTCCCCGGGGGCAGCGGCCCCCCCGCACCCCCTCCTGCCCCTCCCGCTCCGGCCCTTCTCCAGCCGAGCGGCGCTGCCGTGTCCGCTCTCCCGGCTGCCAGCGGCTGAGGTAAAACCCGCGCGGGGCCAGGGGCGCCGGCACGGCGGCAGCCCGCTCCTCAAGCACGGCACCTCGGAGGGCAGCCCGCTTTCACCCCCGCCTCAAGCACGGGCGGTTCTTGCGGGGTTTTCCTCTCACCGGGGAGAGGGGATGGGGGCGGCGGCCTTGCGCCCCCAACCCCTTCCCCTGTCGGGGCGGGTTGGGAAGGCAGGGGAGCGGGCGCAGACCCACGGGCGAACAGCTTCCAGGGCAGCTGCCTCGGCCGGGGCAGGTGGGATGCGCCACCCGAGTATCTAAGGCAGGCGGGTCCAAGACATGACGAAGGGACGACGGACCTGAACTTTCCCGGAACAGAGAGGGACTCTGTGCGAGTGATGGCTCTGGTTTCTGTCTCGAAAAGGGGCCCTGCCCTGGCCGAGCCCGTCCGAGCGGTGGGTCGGGGGTCCGTCCCTCCGTCCTGCGCCTGCCGAGAGCTGGCGCACCGGATGAGGAAGGGAGCCGTGCCCGCAGCAGCGGAGGGAAGGGGATGGCTTCAGCCGGGCCCTGCCAGAGCCTCCCGGGAACAGGAAAACCGCGGGAGGTTTGCACCAGGGTAAGGTGCAGATCCAGCCGCGCAGCCGGAGGCTGGGCAGAAGAACCTCGCCTTGCAGCCATGAAGATCCTCAAAATCCAAGCGTCTGGCTCCTCCCCTTGGCTTTGCGCCGAGCCTCTCCCCGCTGCAGGCCCAGATGAGCGCCTGTGACACACGCCCCGCCCCAAGAGACCCCCCCGCGGCCGTCCAGTGGGAGCGGGTGGTCGGCACCCACGACCTGAAGTTTTTATTCTGCCACCTCGAAGTTCCTGCCTCTTACAAAGGCAGACTTTGTAAGAGGCAGGGGGAATAAGGGAGTTTTTCAGGGTTTTGTTGTCCTTTTTTTTTGTCTCCCCCCCCCCAACCATGTCAGTTCCCTAAACTCCTTTTTGTTTTTTATTTGCAGGAGACCGGTGCGACGCCGCAGAAGTACCCGCTGTGCAGATACAACCCCCCGAAGAGCTCTGCATAGCTAAAAGAGAAACACGGGGACTTTATGTCTATATTTACTATTATCCGAGAGACATCCTCGGACGAGGAGAAATAAACACAGATTTATCCTTGAATAGACAAGTCAGAGGTTCACTAAAGTGTCTTCGTTTAGTGGCTTTCGGAGCCTCCCTTGCAAAGTTTCTGGGGCAAGTGGCATTGCAAGATCGGGGTCCAAAATTTGAGGCGAGACCCTTGCTTGCCAGGGACTGGTGGTGAACTCCCACCACATCGTGGTTTTTCTACCACGCATGGTGCAAAGCAGTGCTCAGGACAGACAGGAAATTTCAAACAAACAAATAAATAAAATTTTAAAATTAATAAATAGTGTTTAAAAGAGTGGATTTTTGAAAGTCTGTGAAGTCTAAGAAAGTACTACGATCCCCCACACAAAAGGCAAAGTACCTTCCAGTTCTTCTTGTGCTCTCTGACATTAATGATAGCCACATAGAAATAAATCCAAGGAGAAAACCTCGTTAATTATGTCTGTCAGGTATCTTAAAACTTCAAATCCTTAGTGATGCGTGGTAGTGTTGCAGGTATCACTGCCTAGCCTTGCTTTTTGTGAAATAGTATTATTGATCATGGATTTTCTGCATAAATGTATGTATAAATATAGGAATACATATCTTTTACTGAGTATAAAAGCATAAAAATAAGTGGGACTCAATGACCTTAAAGGTCTTTTCCAACCTAGTTAATCCTGTGAAGAAAAAAAAATGCACACTGACATGTCAATATATTTGCAAATAAATATGTCACTTCAAATCAGAGAGCCTGTCTGTATCTTCATCTCCATCTCCACTATATATGTTAAAAGTGTAAATAGTGTAAAACAACAAATATTGTCCCATTATTATGTCCCAACATTACTGACCCTCCAAATCATGTATCAAAATACTAGAACATTTTTAACTCACAACATTTTCAATTACATGATTGAAATAATGTGATTTCTTCCCCCTCTAACGACAAATCTTATATTATACAATTCTAGTATCAACAAAGGACCTCAAATTAATCAAAACATAACAATACAGAGTAATATCTGAAGTTTGAGTAATAATAATGCAGCCTATGCTAGTGTGTTTTGAGAAAGAACCTTGTATTGCACTTGTATCTCAGGGGAGGGAGGGGAATCAACATTTCCCCCCCAGCAAACCTTACTGCAAAGATAATTTCATTAAAAATATCTCTTCAGTTAAAAAAAAAAAGAATTATGTTAAGAGTATAAAAAAAGTAAAGAGTTAAGATAAGAGAGGGAGTAAAAAAAAATTTAAAAATCATGTTAAGCAGTGTCCTTATCCTACATTTCTGCTGTTATTGCATTTTAGAATGATTATTCAACCATACAGATCTTTGACACTGAAAACAGATCCATTTTAACACTACAGTACAGCAGTCCTGCAAATTGTTCTGAGATGTTTTGATAAGAGCATAAAGGACGGAAGAGGTAACTTGCAGTTAAAAAAGCAGCCATCTTATGCCCTGTTTAAGGCTTAGCAAGTATTACCCTTTACAAAAACAACAACAAAAAGAAATATTTCAATCGTATCTAACAAGTATTTGGATAATAGGTTCAGCGGTTAATTAAATACTATAGAGACAAATTATAAAGAACATAATATTGGGATTCCCTGGCTTGTAAATAGGTAAAAAGCAGACAAGAAAGGCAGGAGTAGGAGGTGCAGTGGAGAGGTTGCATAGAAGTAACCTGGTTTATATCTAAGGGGAGTGGGGGAAACTGTTGTTCTGAGTTACACTAAAAATGATGCAATACCCATTTACAGAAATAATTTAACATTATCATTCTTCTCTTCAGTTTAAAATGTCAGAATATTTGTAAAGATATTTATCCTGATTACACATACTGGTTAAAACCAGGAAAATCTGTCACCTTAATTTTAGTCGTTCAGAAGTGGTGCCATGGGGGTTTCTACTGAACTTAAAAATGATCGAAAAAATATCCTAAACAAACAAAGCCAACACTAAACCACACCCAAAAGCTAAAACATAACTCAGAGAAACTGTGGTAATAATTAATAAATACTTCACAGAGTATATCTTACAATCAGAGATTGTTTAGGGTTGGAAAGGACATCAGAGATAATACTTCAAATCCCACCCCACTGCCCTGCCTCATCCAGCCCGATCTCAAACACTTCTAGAGATGGGGCAGCCACACCTCCGTTATGTGTTACCTGAGACAGTTACAAAACTATCCCTAGATACTGTATTTTTGGTAGGGTTTTTTGGTTTCGTTTTGTGGGTTTATTTTTTTAAATTAAATTTAATACACACACACACACACCTCACTCCATCCCAGGATCTTCAAAATGCGATTTGCAGTCTAGAGCTAACCAGCATTTTAGAAAAACTTATTTTCCCCGATTAAAAGCTCAGGGGAAGAGAATAAAAAAGTAGCATTATTTATGGCAAGTGTGGAAATAGAGTGAGAAAATAATAGCCACACTTTCGGATCCGTGAGGGATTTTGTCCTTGCTAAAGAGAGTTTACTTTGAGGTAATTAGCACCCTCATACTTATGTTTGCATTTGAGATTCATACTTTTCATGTCAGACAGAGTTTATAGTTTCTTTTTCCCCCATTTAGTGTAGAATGAAGAAATGAGGCCTACTACAAATGCAAAAAAAAAAAAAAAAAAGATGCAATTTGAAGGGAACAAGGAAAACTGTCTATATTTTCTGATTTATATCTTTATAGATATATGCTTAAGTTTTTATGTGTGTGTGTGTCTGTGGGTATGGCCCCACACTCTTTATTCAAATAGCATTGGAAGCAATCTAAACAGAGAGTGGAGCTGGGAAACTCTGAATTACTTTATCTCCACACCTGAGTCCTATAGCTTGAAGGGTTAAAAATTTAATGCATTCATTTATACATGTATAAAATAAATGGTCTCTATTTTTGAAGTAAATTTGAGGCAAATATTTCAAAAAAACTTTTTTCCATCTCTGTTCTTTCCAGGCTGTGCTCTGTATTAAAGGAGGTTGTGGAATGCTCTAATAACTTTCTATGAGGATTTTGCAGAACAATCCTCACATTCTCAGCAAAATTAATATTTTCTTTAGCTTCACTGGATGTCGAATTATTATTGCTGGTTTTTATGCGTGATAATCAATGTCACATCAATCCGATTTTGCACTCTGCAGTAAGGAAAAAGTCTCTAAAACTGCCCGAGCCTCGGATGTCTCTTAAGGTCCTAAAATACGAGTGTATTTTTATTACTCTTTCTGACGCTGCTCGGCCGCTCTGACCCTTATTTCCCATATTTTTGTAACAGCAAGGGCCAGAAAAGTAGGCCACTGTATTTCACTGTCGTTTACAAGAGTGGAAAGTAATTCACGGTCGAGAAACAGTGGCCATTTTCCCTCTTCAGAGCAATAGCTATGTTCCTTGTTTGCAAGAAACTGTCTGAAAAGGATGGGAAGGGGTGGTGGGTTTATATTTTCGTAACAAACCACACAGAAAACGTCTCAAAAAGTGGGAGGCAAGGCAGAAATAAGCTACAGTAACTTCAAGAACCGAACAATTTCTGCTGCGTAAAAAAAAAAAAAAAAAAAAAAACCCCCAAAACCACAAAAAAAAAAAAAAAAAAACCCCTAAAAACCAACAACAACAAAAAAACACCTCACAGAAGCACCCCGCCTGCCGAAAGCTAAGGTGCTGCCCGGTGCCACCCGAGCATGCGGCGCGGAGGGGTCCCCGCGGCGCTGCCACCGCCGCCCCCGCTGCCCGAGCGGCCCCGTTCCCGCTCTCCTACCTGGCCCCGGGGCTCCCGCGCCGCCTCCGCCGCAGGACCAGCTGCAGGGCAAGGCGCCGCGGCCAGCGCCGCCCCAGCGCCCCGAAAAAGCGGCGGAGGATGCGCCAGCCCAGCGCCCAGGCCCGGGGCAGGCTGCGGGCGCGACGAAAGTGGATTGTGCACCTTATCCGCGGGGTCATGGGTGCGGGGAAGCCGCGGGCGCGTCATGCTACAAATACCTCCCCAGCGGGGCCCCACCGGTGAATCGGCCCTCTTACCCTCCATTCATTGGAGAAGATTTTCTTTCTCTCTTTTTTTTTTTGTTATTTTTTTTTTCTTTTCCGTTTAACTAATTTCGACTCCCCATTTCACTTTACACTCGCTCCGCTCCCCACCCCTCCCCTACACCCCCCTCTAAACTCCTCCCACGATGATGGCTCCCGCCTCGAAAAGCGGGCGAAGGAAGGTTGGCCGCGGGGGATGGGTAGGGGGAAGATCGCCGGGGAAGAGCACCGCCACCAGACGGGCGTAGGGACCGGCCAATCGCAGGGCGCTCCGAGGCTTTCAAATAAAGCCTTGACGACATCTCCTTGCCCTCCCCCCGCTCTGTCCCTCCAAACACACCGCCTCCCGCTCCGTTTGGGTTTCTTTCTTGCTGTTCGGTTGTTCCCGGAGCGCAGTGCCCCCGGGAAAACCCCGACGGGAGAGGGGGCCTGCGGCGGCTCGGGGCGCCGCGCTGGCGCTCCTGAGAGCGGGCTAGCGGATCGCTGCCGCTTCGAAAGCGCGGGCCAGCGCTGGCCCGGGCCAGCAGCTATTTCCTTGTCACATGGCCATTTGAACGCGACGCGGGAGCCTTGCGTAGCGAAGCGGGGGAGGGGGGGCGCCGGGAGGGGGGAGAGAAAAGAAAAGAGGATCTCTATTTCCCCGCGCCGGCCACCGAAACGGGTAATGAACGGCTCCCCGCCCAGCCCCCGGGCCTTCTCCGCGGCCGTGCTCCGCGGGTCGGACCTCTTGGCTTTCCTTTTGAAGGGCGAGGTTTTGGAGCGGGGGAGGGGGGAGCAGCGGAGGGTCGCTCAGGAGCCCCAGCCCACCTGCTGGCGCTCCCCTGCCCACCCGGCTCCAGGAAGCACGGGGGAGCTGCCGAGACCCGCGGCAGCCGGTGCTGAGCCAGCTCTGCCGCCCTGGGCGGTGGAGGGGGTTACTGCTACCTCCCGGTCCCACTCCCCATCCGAAGGGTCCTTCTGCCCGCGCTGCCGCCCTCCCGGGTGCGGGGTACTTCCGTGCGAGCCGTGAGAAGAGCGATGGGCAGGGAGAGCGTCGTTTCTGCCGGCGCATCTTCCCCCTGCCCGGGCGCGGCAGGGCCCGGCTCGGATGGTCACGGCTGAAGGCGGCCGGGAGAGGGATCGGGGCAGCTCCGGGACGGCGGGGAGCCGCGGGAAAGGCGCCGGGTGGGGACGCAGAGTGGCAGTGCCTGGCAGGGATGGCGAACACCAGCGTGTGCAACAGCCCTCCACAACAAACACCTCCTTCTCTCGGATGTGCAAGAAATCGAAATGTCAACAGAAGGTTTCTCCTGCCTCGGCACGGAGTAACCCTAACAACACGCTGATAAGGAAAAGCCTGTAATGGTTTCTTTTCAAGTCCGATTTCAAGCCTGGGAAACTGGATGAGCAAAATCGGCCATTTCGAAATGAAAGCACCTTTCGAGAGAAGCTTTTTTTTTTTCCCCTCCCCCCTTTATTTTTATCTGCTCTTCTCCCCTGCGATGACTACTGCCTGCCGACCGGCAAGGCAAAATTCAGAGAAATGAATGCCTACCTGGCTGTGGGGTGCAGGTGCCGGAGCAGTGGTGAGAGGATGGACCGACAGCTCTGGCAATAGAAACCGAATACCCACCAACGCTGAATGCATGGCCGGTCCGGGGCTCGTCGTGCGCAGGGTGCAAACCGCGCTGCAGAAGCGTGTACGTGTGCTCACATGTACCCGGTTACAGCGCAATATTAAAAATAAAAATTGCGAGTAATCTGCCACCTTAAAAAAAATGCTTTTAGGGCTTTCTTGATAAAGTGTACTGCTGCTGCTCTTTGTCGTTAACTGTTACTATTCTTCTTTTCAAGGAGGACTGCAAGCCCTGGAGCCGCTGCTGCTGCCAGAAGAAAAGGTGCCTGTGGAAGCTCCCGCAGCCAAGTGGGACCTCGCCGGTGATCCCCATCCTTCCATGGAGTGAGTAGTCCCCACCATGGGTCTGTCCTGGGAAGGGGTTCCGGACCTACTCTGTGAGGCAGATTTATAACAATTAGGTATTTACTCTTGCTGAGTTTTGAGGGCATACTCTGCTTATTTGGTGCGGCAGCCTAGCAAATTTTGTTATTTCCCTGTCAACTTTACAGATAATAACAGTAGTAATATAATACTACTATTTTTGTTGCTGTAGTTTCATAAGCCTTAATGGAAATGCTCAGAAATTGAAATAAAATCTGGTTCTTGCAGAAAACGACGATTTAAAACAGGAATACTGGTCCAATTGAGGATGGAAGTGCAGTTTAATAGAACCTTACTGTTCTGTATGGAATGTGGTCAGGCTCTAGCTTTCCCCCATCTCCACTTCTGATCGCAGCTCCATTCTGGTTCCCACAGGCATGGGATGCAGGCACTTAACTGCTACATCCCCAGGGTTGTCCTTGGTTCAGCTGTGCCACGTTCTAGGGCAGAGTGCAGTGCAAATTAATAAGGTGTTATAATCACATATTATGTGTTATTATTATAATGTTACATGTTTTCTATTTATAGAAAATATATTTATATTTTATATTTATAAAATATATATTTTAGGCATTCTTATAATGAAAAAGTGTGAATATAGACTAAAGATAAATGTTTTGTACGTGTTTTATAGACATATAATTTCATTGTAATCAAACCAAGAAGCACAATTAAACAACAAAGCAAATTACATATAAAAATAATCCATAGTCAAATATATCTCGTTGATGTATAATCCTAATGTTTTATATATGTGTTCATATATATGTTTTATATATGTATAACATGTATATTTTGTACAGATATTACATAGATGCATTATATACATGAACGACATAACTAACTATTTTATAGCATGACAACACATATGAAGTAATTATAAAGCAGGCATTGGATGAAATCACATTATAATAAATAACATATTCCAACATGTTACAAAAAAGGTATATACATTACTTTTCATGTTTCTGTATGAGATACCTAGGGGTTGGATGCTCAGTAGGAATGCAAAACCAAGATAAGTATTTTTCACCTTTTCTACAGGTAGCTCTGCAAAGTGCTGATTAGCGCTGGGGTACGAGACCTGAACTCTGTCTCTGCTTCGCCTGGCTTCCCTTTCTCAGCCCCTGAGGTGCAGGACGTGCGAGCAAACCCCACTTGGGTTCCAGGGAGGGAGGCAGGGTCTACCGCTCGTCTCGCAGCGGCTGGGAGCGCCGTCCCTGCCTCGCCGCCCGTCTCGCTGCTGCCTGTGCGCTCCCTCAAGCACACCGCTCCGGGGGCTTGGGGACTCGCTGCGCTGAGATCGGGTCTCCCCGCCCCCTCTTTCCACCTCGGCAGAGCCCGGGCTGCCGCTGTATCTTTTTCCTGGGGTGCTCATATCCAACTCCCCTGCGCTGAAGCATCCAGTGGAACGCGTATCGGCTGTCATGCAATTAACAGATAACCCCGCTCCTCGTTCTCCCACCAGCAGCAGAGCTGTTTCAAAGGTTTCCTTGTTTCTTCACCAAATGTGTCACCTCCGAGCATCTTGGGAAGCACCGGAGTTGAGCTCAGATGTATGATTTTTAATTTTTCGTTTTTGGCTGCCTTGGTCTCACAATCAAGTGATTTTTTAGAAGTACTGTAACTCAGAAGAGGTCACTTGCAAATTGTTAAAACAACGAGTACTTCAACTGAGGATAGTGTCAGGCTTGCAGAGATACAAATTTCTATTTATTTTCTCCTTCCAGCTCCTATAGTTGCAGCCTACACAAGGAAAGCTACGAATGTGTAGCTGTCAGTACGTGTACAGACATGCGCAGGATCCTACGTGGTTCTAATGAGGTATTTACCAAAGCTGCAATCACACCAGGAAGCACTGATCCTGCTGTCCAGCCGGTTTTGCCGGAGAAAGGCAGATGGGCTTCAGCACCCCTTCAGATCGCTTTAACCTAAATCAAACAGGGGGACTCTGAAATGTCTCCCATCTTTTTCAGATGGAGAGCTAGAAAGCTGGAGCAGGAAGCCACCAGGGAGCAGAAAGTCCAGACGCGGCCCCATCAAAACAGAGGAAGGGTTTATAGTACCATACCTCTGTGCGGGCATTTCCCTTCATATTTAATATTCAATACTGGCTATTCAATATTTTCACATTTAGTATTTTCTTACTTCATATTTCGTACTTCCTACTTCATATTTCATATTTGTCTTCAGTGTTTGGACTCTTGTGTGAGAAAGGGGGCTTGCAGAGCGCCGTAGCATTTCCAGTGCAGGATAATATATGGCCATGAGCAAAGAATATTGTCCTTTGTGCATCCAGCAGGGAAACGCGATCCGGGGTTATGCACAGCATCGCATGAGTACTGTTCCACTTGGTGTCTCCCGACTGGGCGCGGGCAGTAAGTCTGGGGAGGGGCTAGGCACAGGGCGGAGGGTCGCGCAGGTAGCGCCCCACGGCCCCCTGCGGGCCCCCCGCCGCCACGTCGAGGGGCAGGCGGCCGCGGCCGTCGCGGAGGTCGAGGCGCGCCCCGGCGCGGTGCAGCGCCGCCAGCGTCTCCAGAAAGCCGGCGCGGGCCGCATCGTGCGCCGGGAGGCAGCCGGTGCGCGGGTCGGCGCGGTTGGGGTCGGCTCCGTGCCGCAGCAGCAGCTCGGCCACCCGCGGGCTGCCCAGCATCATCACCTGCGGGGAGAGACAGCGTCAGCGCCCGCCGCAGAGCTCGGGCTTCTCGCTCCGCCCGGAAGGAACGGAGATGTACAATGGAAAGAAGAAAATCCGCCGGTGGGACATAGAGACCGGCTCTGGACGTGCCACGAACGGCGGAGAACTTGTACCCGTCGGGGGAGTTGTGCCGTATTGGAAAACTCTCCTTTACCCACGCTAGAGGACAGGAGAGAACAGGTGGGGCAGAGAGGTGCGGGACTCCTGCCGGAGTCGGGAAGTGTGGATGCACACTGGGATTGCTCCGCGACAGGAGCGGGAAGTCGGTAGGCTCGGAGCACAAGAACCGGGGGAACGGGCTCGCCCTTCTCCCGGTGCGCTCCCATAGAAACCCAGGTCTCGTCCCAAGTCGCTTTGCACCGGTCCCCGCGGAACCGTGCCGGAGCAG